AAAGTGCACGAAGGGACATGTAAGTACAATTTAAAAGATGAACCACCAACCATCTTGCTTAGAATCGTGTACAGTTCGCACAATTAATGCCTTCCTGTTTTGACATTGCGCGTTACTTTCTCGGTTATTTTCACGTTCATGATTGTAGTCAGATGGAATGATCGAATACGCGTTTTCTCCAATCCCTATTGGCTAGTCTGGTTTATCCGATTACGGTCATGAACGTGAAAACAACCGAGAAGATAAACGCGATGTCTCACCAGTGGACGTGTTATAGGCTGGGAAGGCATTAATTACGCGAACTGTAGTATGAGCGGAATCCATATGCTGGATTCACACTGAAGCAAAATTCATCGGAATCCTGTTTTCTGATTGGTTGCAGAACGTCGTACGACGAAAATCGGATGCAGTGTGAATCCAGCATATGTCCTCGCTAGAAAGTATCTCTAGTTTGCTAAAATTTTTTTTTCGTCATATTCGTATTATTATTGTTTCATCTTCAGATGAACTATGTAATAATAATTGTTAATTTATCTATTGGATAAACAAAAGAATAAAGAAGTAAGAGCATAAAAGAGTTACGAGAGTAAGACAGTGAGCCGAAATTTACCGAAAGGTGGAACAACCTATCCTTGATGAAATAGGTATGTACATATATATTAGGAAAAGGTAAAACTTATATGTTCATACATATATTCTTTATTGATTACAAGTCATCTAAAATAATATTAGTAATTCTTCAAATTAATTAATAATGAACATTTTGAATTTTTTTCAGAGTGTGATTGTAAACTTCAGCAGGAGCATATCTGTATTTCGACAGTGTTTGCAACGGAAACTATTTGTGACCGTTGATACATCCTGTCTTAGAGAATTACAGAAAAATTGTCGGAAAAATGTATATGAATACAATCAAACTCGTGATTTTAGAAATTTTGGTCATACTAAAAGAAAATCTCGTTTTATCTCCATGGTCCCAATTATGGTTTGCAGCATTGGTATGATTGTGACTATGTGTTTTGATTGGCAACGGTAAGTGAAGTGAATAATATTAATTGTAATCAAATAATGCTAATATACAAAATATATCATTCAAAATACCAATGTATTCTATGTTTTATAGAACGTTGAACATAATGCCTAAAGTAGATGCTGCTAGTATCTTGGATTCGGAAGAGACTCAGAATAATGAAAACATGGAAAATATAGAACAGGATGTACAAAAGAAGAAGAAGAACAAAAAACAAAAAATTGGATTTCGCGATAGAAAGGTTTATTGAAGACTTGCGCTAGCCATAGTAATATATGTGTATACATAATTCTTCAAGATTATCTTGAGAGTTAAAGCCGCGACAGACTCTTGCATAACGCATAGTGCATAAGGGAATTAAGGATATATCCACACAAACTTGTATAGCCGCATAAACGTATGCATAAAGAAAATTATCCAATCACAATTTACGTGCGTCTTTATAGGAGAAATGCAATTGAATAATTTTCTTTATGCATACGTTTATGCGGCTATGCAAGTTTGCGTGGATATACTCTAACTAATCGAAATTCTTTTCCATGAAATGAGAGGAAAGGAAAGATTCTGATTGGTTGATTTGCTTATGCACTATGCATTAGTGTTATGCAAAAGTCTGTGCTGCGGCTTTTAGATTACAAGACTAAGATTAATTACATAGTAAAATTAAGAAGAGGGAGATATGTATATAAAATATGTATAAAACAATTATTTTTCTGTGTATTAAAATAATACTGTAGATTTTACAATTTAGTGCTTACACCATTATATATCTATGCAGAACGATGCAGGCTCAAGTGTTTTTACAGATAATAGAGTATGAGAATAGGATTAGAACATATTCGACGCCAGACAAGATCTTTCGTTACTTTGCAACTGTGAAAGTAATTCATTTAGAAAGTATTGAAATCTATATGACACCTGATGATTTTCTCCGAGCTATTACACCAAATATGCAGCAACCAGATGGTAGGGCTTCCAAAATTTTATTGTATTGGTAAAACATAATTCTAGAATTGCATCGTTTTGTTTATAATTATTTACAATAAATCCTAGTAACAACTACTTACCTGCTTCGCTCTGCTAACTAAAATATTTCCATACTAATTTCTTACTTATTATCAAGTATAAACTATTGATCGCCAAAATGGGATATAGATAATATCGTACAAGAATTTTCTAAAATTAAAAGTTGATAATTTTGCACATTAATGAATTTTAAAACTCGCGACTATCTGTTGATTGATTTATGCAGATAATAGAATATGAAAATCGTATGAGGCATTATTCGACACCAGACAAAGTATTTCGTTACTTTGCAACTCTCCAAGTTACAAGCAATGATATACATGAAGTATTTATGACGCCAGATGACTTTTTAAGATCGATGACACCTGGTGTGAAACAGCCGGATGGTAATCCCTCTATGCAACTTTCCTCATTTTTAAATAAAATATTGTTAAATACAATTTTTCAAATTAACTGTGAGGTGCTTGCTGATTCCTTGTGATACAGCTTTTCTGCACGTGCAAAACAATTAACATTTTTAAAAGTTATAATTTATATTTAATATATTATTATATTTTTTCAAGACTGTATTATCAGATCTATCATATAAGACAGTATACTAAAAAATACGTAATAGTAAGAATTACATTAATTTTCAGGGCTTGGACTAGATCAGTACAAACGTTACGATCCAAAGGTACATAAATCAAATTCAATAAAAGGTACTAATCAAGAGATATTTTTCTATAGAAATGTTTCCTTTTCCTATTTAGAATATTCACACCAAATTAGAATTAGAATTGGACGAAGATAGCATCTTCTATAAACTAGGCAGTGCAGGCCTTATTACTTTCTCCGATTACATCTTTTTATTGACTGTATTGTCAAGTAAGTTTATTTTGTTACTTTTTAATTATATATATATATATATATAAAATGTTTGCAATGTAGTTTAAAATACATTTTCATTCAAGTGTATATCAATTGAATTTTTCATATTGCACGATAGAAACATCAAGTCTCAATGATATTCAAACCTGTTTCACAGCTTCTAGACGTCACTTTGAAATCGCCTTCAGAATGTTTGATTTCAATGGAGATGGTGATGTCGATTCCGAAGAGTTTGGAAAAGTAGCTACATTGATACGACAACAAACTAGTATAGGTACTCGACATCGCGATCACGCGACTACAGGAAATACATTTAAGGTAATAATTGTATTAAGATAATATTCATCTAGTTTTTGTTGTATATCATCATTGAACAATAAATGTTAAATGCTTATTAATTTGAATTATATATGTAGTAAGCACAATCAGACTTGATTGAATAAACAAAATCTCGATCATTTTTTTATTGAAATTTTAGGGAGTAAATTCTGCCCTAACAACATATTTTTTTGGACCACAAATGAATCAAAAGCTAACAATCGAGAAATTCTTGGATTTTCAGCAGCAGCTACAACGAGCAATTCTGAGTCTTGAGGTATAGTAATAAATCCTACAGACTTGCCATAATGTACACAGCCACCAATTCTATATTATTATAGTATTTACTTAATATTGTACGTTTGTTTACTTTTTTTGCATAGTTTGAACGACGAAATCCAGATGAGCATGGCAATATCACCGAGGTAGATTTTACGGAATTGTTGTTGGCTTATGCTGGATATCCAGCGAAAAAGAAGGCAAAAATGTTGAAGAGAGTGAAAAAGACGTGAGTGTAAAAATATTTAATTTCATAGCCATAAAATCTCAAATTTTAAAAATTATATATAATTAAACATCATAATTATTTATAGCTTCAAAGAAGATCCGAAAGGGATTAGCAAAGAAGAATATCTCAAGTTTTTCCACTTTTTAAACAACATTAACGATGTTGATACAGCTCTGACATTTTATCATATAGCTGGCGCATCTATCGATCAAGGTATATAAAATAATAAAGTTGTCCGTCACAAATATTCCAATTGAAACTCTGAAACAATAGAATAATTTAGAATAATTATTGATTCGTCGATTGTAAGAAACAATAGTCATTTAAAATATCAAGCAAACGCGACGCTGCATTTTTATTGCTGTATTAATTATTTATGGATATATAATTCTGCAATATGATATTGCAGCAACATTAAAACATGTAGCAAAAACTGTAGCACATGTTGATTTAAGTGATCATATCATTCAAGTGGTATACACAATTTTCGACGAAAACAGTGAGTTAATTTTTTATTAATAAAAATACTGTACTTTATATATACTCTACTAAGAAAAGCTTCAATTAATTTTCTTGTAAGTTATAGCATGATATAGCATTAATGCATCTTAAATAGTTAAATGTGTATTAAATATGTAAAATGTATTTAAAAAATGATTAAATTGTTTATGATGGATCTTATTCCACAGTGGACGGACAACTTAGCAATCGAGAATTCGTCGCTGTGATGAAGAACCGTGTGCTGCGCGGTCTGGAAAAGCCAAAGGATACTGGATTTGTCAAGTTAATTCAATCCATGATGAAGTGTGCGAAAAACAGCAATCTCCTGTCGTATGATAAATAATCAAGTATCCAAATGCTATTTGGTTTTCTTTAGGTATCTATTGTTAATTGTAATATACATACATATATAGAGAGAAATAAAATGTTACGCAAAATATAGAATTATAATATTTAAAACAAGTTTGCAATTATATTTATTATAATATTTATTATAGAACATATTGTTTGTAAATTAGAAGGTAGACAGTTACGTTAAAAATAAATTCTACAATGATGCATTACGTTAGTACACTTTCACTCTTGTATTAAATAGAGCATTATCCGAAAAAAACGTGAGATCAAGAGACCATAATTTCTCCTATTCAATACGTCCTTCTCTTCAGTAGTTTACCATTCACTCTGTAAGACAACAACGGATTGCAAGTTTAAAGTTATATTATTAGATACAACAATGCGAACAAAGTATAATTTTAATTCACTTTTTATACAAATGGCAACGATACTACTTTTCGTAAATTTTGTCGCAGCCAATTTATTGGAAAAACTTACAGAAATGACTTTGACAGGTATCATAAATCGTGATTCTCGATTGTGTGCATTTTATATAATAATATTATACGTATATATGTGTATTAATTTGTTTTAATTATGATTATAAATTCACAAATTGTGAATAAAGAAAGGACCTCAAAACAGGAAAGAGCATCAGATATTTTGTCGATGGGACAATACTTTCAGTGAGTCAAGTCTTCTATATATCTATTTATGAGTAATTGGCATTAAATTTTTCAGTACAGAATTTTATTTATAATTTTATATGCCATGTATTTTTACATATGTATGAATTTTAATACATTTTATGTACATGTGTATTTTTTAAATATCTTTTGTTTCACCCGGCACATAGTTTGAACAGAATCTTATAAATTCTGACGCGAATTAATAACGACAAAAAAAAATTGTAAATGTATTTTGATGATGTTCATCCTATGTAGAGATATATTTTCGGAACATTTGGCACCTCTTGAACTTGAATTTGGTTATGTCTGCGAGAATCCTACTGAATGGCAACAAAGATTCGAACGAAAAGATTTTGACAACAACCGTTTTAGCGGCAAGGTAATTATTTTATTTCACGATTATACATAATTATACATAAGCATATTATTCCTTTATGTACATCATAATTTACTTGCCAATGTTATTTTGTATCCTACATCTTTTTGTAAATTAAAGCTATTAAAGTATATAACATTTTGGATACTCGTCAAATTATTAATATATCTGTTTAAATATAATTTATTATTTATAATTCGTTGCATTTTTAGGTGAAATGGGGTAACAAAAATGGAGAGTACGGCGAACAGTATTGGGACTTGAATCATTAACTTTAGTAAAGACTAGTAATTATTCAACAAGAACATTGACGATTTGTTCGTTTAAAATAAAAATTTCTTGTTTGGAATTGTTTCTACAATTTATTCCAATAAAATAATTATTATGAAGAAAAAATTTTTATAAAACAATTACACGAAAGATTAAACGTTTTTAATTATCAATAGTAAATTATAAACGATTGAAAGTAAGCTGTAAAAAGAAAAAGAGTTGATATAGATGTGAAATAAGAAAATACTAGTTAAAAAAGCTGAGCACGAGCATCGGTGTTTCAGTGGTGGAATGTCGATGCAACATCGTTACTTTTGTCTGTATCCATGTAAATGTAAAGTCATTCGAGACAATAGAGAAATTGTTGAGTTTCAAACGTCAATTTTCTCTATATTTTTATGTAATAAAAAATTTAACAAAAAAAAATTATGCATCGGCCGGGAATCGAACCCGGGCCGCCCGCGTGGCAGGCGAGCATTCTACCACTGAACCACCGATGCTTCTGTGAACTTGCTTTTCTGTACTAATCTAATATGGTCGAAATACAGAATAATTAAAATTGAAAGTCGTAATTATTTTTTTATAAAAAAAATCAATAAAACTGAACATCAATTTTATGATCCATAATTTCGATGCCAGCTTGCCTTCAGCCAGACAATTATGGAGATTGTAGATAGACTAGCAGTTTTCCCGACAACCAGCTCGCATACAAGTGTGAAATGCCGTTTGACCTGCGCCCGTAGGGGTCGCGATTTGCTTTTGAAACGGATCGATGGTCTCTTAATTCGATTTCGTGCGATTATGTTGCAATTACTCAAGAGTAAATCGCAGCTTGGCCAAGTTATGAGAGACGCGGCCTTCTCGTTGGTCGAAGTTAATTACGCGACAGGTGGAGTAAACGAGCTGGTCCTACAGGCGGTCGACAAGGCCAAAACCAAGATTCGAACCAGACAGGAGATGATCGGTGGGATTCGACTATGGATTTACGAGGCCTTCCGCAGTGGTGCCGATCCCTTTGAATTTACCGGATTAGCCAGAGGCGGTCAAAAAGTGATTAGTGATTACTGATTACCATATGCATGCGCGCCATTCGCCATATATGATGAAAAGTTGGCTACAACCGTTTTACTTTTATCAATTAATCAATTGTAAACATTGTTGTAATTTCCGCAAGCTTTTATATATAATATCCCGATCCCATTGAACGTCGCAACAGGTGGCTAGATTGAAGATCAATTATGGAAAGGCGATAGATCTGCTGGTAAAACTGGCGTCATTGCAGCGTAACTTCCAGATCCTCGATCGAGTAATTAAAATAACGAGACGTCGCGTAAACGCTCTTCGCTACATTATTATACCTCGATTAGAACGGACCCTCGCATACATCGTCACCGAACTCGATGAGTACGAGCGAGAAGAATTCTATCGTCTTAAGAAGATACGAGAGCGGAAAACGAAGCGACGTGATAGACAGTCCTCTTACGATTTCATTCGGAGCGCCAATGTCCTAGATGACACGGACGAGGATCTTCTCTTTTAATACATATATGTATGTATAATGTGTATACATACGAGTATATTATAACAGAATTGTAATGATTCGAGAGCGCGCGTGAAGAAAATACTATCTTTATGTATTTTGTGCTAATAATTATCTAATTTATTTCATTCCGTTGCGTTCGAACAAGGAATTGGTAGTCACCCTGCGATCTGCGATGCTCGATGCCGAACCTTCGAACGAATGAGGAAGCGCGAGAGAACCTGAGAGAATACAAGGGAACCAGAGCTGTGTAGGTCCAATTATACCAAGAAGATACAGCCCGTAAAGCCAGTCTTAACTATGCTGCCAAACATCCGGATATGATAATGAGAACGTGCTGTTCTTTCCTTCCTCCTAATAATCTACTCACTGACAGATATCTCTCTCGTAGCTGTAGCTACTGTTGAAATGACGAAAAACCTCCTCCTTTCGCACAAAAATTTCAACTTGCCAGACATTGTGCGTCTAATTTTCACATCATATTATGTATAAGCTCCAATTAACACTGATAATTTCCTTAGAAGAGTAAGAATGCCAAGACAGCACAGAATATTTATAGTAAATGTTTATTCATTTTGTGAAATGTTATATAGATATTTCATACACACACACATATTTTACATAAAGTTTTATTCGAAATATTATTAAAATATAGACCAAATATTTTATGTTATATTTATAATATAGATAAATATAGATAAATATTTCTAATACGTATTTTTTACTCAGATTATAATGTCTCATTAAGTATCTTCACAACATTTACTATAACATTTACAATAAATATTTCATAATATTTAAAATAAATGTTTATGATCTGTGCAATCTAAAAGACCACAAAAAATGTTTACAAAATATTTAAAATAAATCTTATAAATATTTTATAAATATTGTGTGAGTTTCCTTGCTATTTGCAGCGTTTCTTCAACCACTCAAGTTTAAAAAATACTAGTTTCTCTATCTCTCTTGTTCTTTCTCTATCATAAATTAGATATGCATGTGTAAAACATGTAAAAAATGATACCGCGCCGCATACCAAACGCGGAATAATCAGAATTGATTGGACTCGATCGCCAGACGAAGAAGAAGACGCATACAAATCCCTTACAGAAAAAAAACTACTAATGCATAGCAGGTCACAGTAGTGACACTGCTGACATTTAATAGTGTCACTACTGACAGTAGTATCACTACTGATACGCAATAGTATCACTTCTGAGCCAGTAGTACTACTAATAGTATAACGACATATGACGTAACATAGAACTATTTCCAGTGATTATAATATTTGTTATACAAAATTTATTAGAGTCAAAAATACATATATATGTCGTTAGAGCAATTAGTATTATTTCAGTTTGTAGAAATAATATTTTATTAAAAATACTGTTGAATCATAAAATTAGTTCTCGAATTCGTGAAGGAAACTTTTTTTATTATAATTTTGTTGTGTATCCTCTGAAATATGATGCTAATCAATAATACTTATTTTTACAATAAAACTTCAGTAAAATTACAATGAAGTTTCAACGAAATTTCTTCCATCATTATTACACTGCTAGTCACACTAGTAGTGTAATTATATTATATATATACAGGGTGTTTCCAAATTAAATGGCAAAACTTCGGGAGCGTGTAGAGGAGTAAAAAACTAAGAAAAAAAGTCCTATAGACATATGCTCCTTTTTGCTTTGTTTC